GACCTAGCTTTCTCCCTACGAGGAATTATTTCCTCCACCGTAGGGAATCTCTCATCCTCTGCAATAATGGCAGCCCCATCGTCATGAACGGGCATGCTCACTGGCAGTGGAACCGGATAAGATGTCCTCCCAGAAGAAGAAGATGCATCAGCCATCTTTGGTGGTTTATAAAAGAAGAAAATGCAAGTACAAAAGAGGTATGAGCAGCAGAAGTTGTTGAAACCAAGAAAAATAAGGATGTAAAGGTGGGAACAACGAAAGCAAGAATACTGGGAAAAAGAAAGAAAGATGCAGGGGTTCGAATGCTTGAAAACACAAAGAATCAAATAGAGGATTTTCTATCCCTATTTATAAGAAATCCAGGCACCTTTATCAAGAATGCAAATCGTCACTGCATAAATATCGAAATGGCAGAGGCGCGGGAAATGACGTAACACAACGGGAAAATGCGTAATAATGACGCATGATGTCATGGCGTCATTCTGAACCGACGTAACGGTAAGATATGGCTCACAAAGCGCCACGTTATCACCTCGCCATGAGCGATACTACTCGGCCTGCCCACCTAAATCTCTCAACTACGACTAGTGAAGTCCGCTCATCGAGGTCGTCCGAGAGAATACCTCGATAAGCGGAGGGACTAACTGTATGGGTCAAAATCTGACTAAGGATACTCGGCACGAAAAGGTATTACTAGAAGTAATTTGGCCGAGGTCGACTAATGACTAATAGAACTCACCACCGAGCAGTCGATCACGGCCGAGGTCAAATATCAAGAGCAACAGTAACAACTAGTTTTGTAATAGGATCTTTAGGAGAATATTCCATCAAATATTCTCTATACTTGTATTTTTTGTGTTGATTAGGGGTATGTCCCATATAAATAGAAAGAGAGAGATAAGGTGCGGGGCATGTAAGATTCTCTGATAAGAACTCTCTTGAAAAGCAGACTCTCTAGATAAATACAAATATCATCTTTCCAAAGAGATTCGTTTTGTTGATTATTCTATACTTTTCCCGTCAGATCCCAGAAAGTCTCCAATATTCTCATAGTTATTTGGCATTCATCATTGTTAGAAAGAAGAATCATCCACCTCATTCAATATTGGATGAATCATTCTCCTTATTTACATATAGTGTCATTTATTGTTAATTAATGCTTGTTATTCTCATTCCATTATTGGCCTCGAAACATTAAATACACGTTACATTAAACCTGTCCCGACAATTTCCTACATCATCCATGTATGCTAATATTAGATCTGAATTTATTATCTTTAACTAGGATTAACCTCTTATATATCAAATCAGTTAATTTAACCAAAGGTTCATATTTTTTGGTCAAACAATACTTGATGATAAGTAATTCACAAAGTTTATAAAATCTTATTTTATAATATTATACAACATATTATTCTTTTTATGATTGGTACTTAGAGTGAAAAAAATATTTGAGATTAATAAATACAATCTCCTAAACTATGACTCTATATGAATTATATGCAAATTTTGCAAAAGAGGCAAAAAGATTATTTTCTAATTATCAAAAATTAATACAACTTTAACAAATGGTAACTAATGCAACTGAAAAATTTTAAGAAGTTGCAAAAATCAATCCAAATGTTCAAAATACAATTAAAAAAGAAGAATAATCATCAATTTAAAGAAAAATCTATTATGTTTTCACTTTGCCAAACTTTAATTTTAAAAAGTAGTAACTGCGGTATTTTTTTTTTCCTTTCTGGTTTTCCACTCGATGTCCGATACCCGCAATAGAGCCCGACTATATTCAGATTCGAGCCGCGTAGATCCCTTCAGGGGGAAGCACTCCTTATGAAGGATTTATCCATACCTAGGGTTCGAATCCAAGACTTCTAGTTAAGGGAAGAGCATTCCGCTCCGTTGCACCACATCTTTTCATGGTAGTAACTACGATATGTGATTTGCCATGAGAAATGATCAATTATGAATAAAAAATTTCGAAGAGTATAATAGCTTAACCGTTTTTAGCGAACTTTAATCACAAAAGAAACAGCCATTATTAAACGCCAATAGATATTAATTAAAAAAACGTTCAACTTTGTAATTTAAAATTATAGACTGAAGAGCGAAAAGCAAAAAATTTGTCTTCGGCAATTTAAATCACAAGTGATGTTATCATCCTAATTTTGCTAGGACGATTGACTGGTTCCAGACTTCTAGCTTAGGTGATCAAAGTCCTTGTTCCAGCAAATGGACCAGACTAGAGCTGTCAATATGAGCGGGTCGGATGCTCGGCCCGCTCACGTGAGCTTTATCAATTAACGGATTGGGCTAAGCTAACCCACTATTTTGATAGGCCTTGTAATGATCAGCTCATCCCAGTCTTATGTGGGTTGCGGGCCCCCACCGGCCGGCCCATCATTTTTTGAAATATAATTTTATATTTTTCTTTAAGTTCTAACTTAAAAAAGATAAATATTTAAAAGCTAAAAAAAATCTATTGGAAAAAATTCAGAAAACTTAATACTTATATTGTACCAATATATCACAATAAACACTAAAAAAGTAAAAGAACAAGACTATATTTCATTCACTAAAAGTCAAAACTCAAAACAAACTATTCAAGAAAACGTCCATGACGCTTATGGGATATCCAACACATCATGTTCATCAATCACATTTGAATCCGCTTGCGAGAAAATTGTCTTAACATCTTCACTTTCACTTAGTAGATTTGTATGCAATATTAGGTAGTTAAATATTAAAAATAATTAAATTTTTAAAACTAATTAACGTTTTAAGACTTTGATCTTTTAATATGATGAGCTTAATAAACTTTAAGTTTGGAATACTCTTCTTGATAATTTTTACGTCATATAATTTTAATTTTATATTATATATATTTTAAATACATATTTTTATTAGGCTCACGGGCTCGCCCAACCCGACCTCAATCAAACCTCACGGGCCATGGGCTTTTTTCAATCGGGCTTAAAAGGCTCGTTCATAAATGGGCTCCAATAATTCTAGCTCAGCCCTATTAAATCACGGGTTGGGTTGGATTGGGCTTGGCCAGTGGGCCAAGCCCATGTTGGCCAGCCTATATTGACGGCTCTAGACCAGACACATGAGTTACTTCCATTTAAATCACTTCCCAATAATTTTTCTTAGGCGCATACTACTCTTTTACCTTACCTATTATGAACAAAACGTACAAAAAATTGATTTTAGTTAATAAATTCTTAACAAATACAGTGCGATATTGTAAATAGTAACATAGCATGTGCAAGTACAAAAGAGGCAAATTTATTCTTCGTATACACAAATAACACAAGGTTTAATTTTTTTTCCGGTAGATCACCTTATATATATGTTAATTCCTTCGTCCCCAATTTATATGATGACGTTTGATCGGGTATTTTGTTTAAGAAAGAAATTTTAAAAAAAATCAAATTTGTGGTCTAAAATGTGCTATAGATATTTCTATGGCCTGATATTATTTTATTAAGGATAAATAAAAACTTTAAATTATTCTTAAATTTAAAAAGATATAATTCTTATTAAAACATAAATGTGTACATCCTATAGCAAAAGTTGATACCTTATTTATTTTAAATAAATACCCTTTTAAAAAATTATATTCCATAGATACCTTTTGATTTTTATAGTCAAATATCTATTTATGGTCACCTCCTACCCTTAAGCCATAAAATACGCTTTGTATTATTTTTCTCTCATTCTTTCAGATTTTTTCCCACCCTCTCTCTCTCAACGCCTATCTTTCTCCATGAATACAACCATGATTCTCCATTGATTCATCTCCATTGTCGAACGAAATTTTCATTGTCAGTGGCCGGTGCTTTGAATCAATATCGAAATCAAGCCCTAGAGAGAAAGATAAGGTTCGAAATCTGCTATTGAAAGGTAAATTGGGGCTGACAATAAAAATTTAGCAGATTGTGCAATGGGCTTTGGTAAAGGGACCACCAGCGGCAAAACCGGCCAATTCTACGTCATCACTGACTCTTCCGACGACAGCAACAACCCTAAGCCGGGAACTCTCCGTCACGCTGTCATTCAAAAGGAGCCATTGTGGATCATTTTTTCAAAAAGCATGGCCATTAGATTACATCGAGGAGTAATCTTTGATGTAATTACTCAAAGATTACACAAATACAGAAAAGGGTTGCTGGAGTAATTACATCAAATACAGGAGTAATTTTTGCAAAAAGCATGACCATTACTCACTGTCAGGTATTTTTGAAAGGATTTTTTTAGGGTAAATTGGGGTTGACAATGGAGGTTCGAAATCTGCTATCGATGAGACGACATTAGGGTTATTCTTGAACAAAGATGACGGAGTTTGGGGCTAAGCAAGTTGAAGAGTCTGTTACCTTTTTTCATTGTATTTCAATGTATCTCGTTGTATTCTATGTATTTCATTGTATTCATTGTCTTTTTTTCATTGTATTTCAATAGATCTCACATGTATTCCATGTATTTCATTATATTCACTGTCTCGCTATATTCCATGAATGTCTTCATTTGTTTTTTTTTAATTAATATAATTTATGTATTCAGATGTATTTATTTATTCAGATTTATAATTGAGTTTGTTGAGTTATATTAGGAGTCTATTATGTTAATTGATTCACTTTCCGTTTTAAAAGCAGTGTAATCCCCTATTTCACGCCGTGAATACAGTCGAATACAATAATGTAATCCCATGTTTCACTCCATGAATACAGTCGAATACACTCGAATACAACAACTGATTAGCTGGACTTCCCTGATTCACGCCTATTTTTGCTACTGTATTCATGAATACAATAGCTTAAATACATCAAATACATCTTACAATCACAGAAAATATATCTATAATTCGTAATATAGCAAATGATATCTATATATAGCTAATTACTACTAAAAGATAGTGCTTTATAAAAATTTCTTAAAAACAAATAGTAAAAACCCACCTAGTACTAGTAAATAAGCCTAAGCCCAACCAATTATGTAAGACTCAAGTCAGACGTTTGGTTAGGGTTCTCAATTTCTCACTTCTATTCGACGACTGCGAGCCTGGGACTGCTTTTTTCGACGCCTCTCCGTCCTCGACGACGCCTCTCCTCGGCGACTCCTCTTGGCAAGAATTCAAGTTTTCAACACTCAACAGGTTCTCATTCCTCAATATTCATCATTTTGGTATATTCTGGCTCTAGCTCTAGGTTTATGCCCTCTCTATTTTTGCTGCATCTGAAATATATCAAGCACCCAGTAGGAAAAGGAAAGAGATTGTGCCTTTTGCACATTTCCGTGTTAGGCTTCATATTTATATCTGTATTTTGGATGAGAGCGAAATTGCTCTTTGTGTGTACTTGATGCTTCTGCTACTTCTGCTTCTGCAATATATAGTTTGCAGCGTGCAATACAGCCCCAAAGGGATCGTTAGGTGGTGGTTTGTCGGGGAATTCTTCATTCTTTGCCAGTTTGCGTCGTTATTTTTGGGACTCTTTTTCTCCTCCGCTTTTACTTGTAATTGTACTATATCAAAATTTATGTCAGAACATATCATTTCACTGAACTTAACTCTAATCACAATTGCTTTCTGAAAAAATACAAGGACTACAAGGCGTAGTTGAGGCTAAAGATCCGTGGTCTACAATTCCATAACAGTGCTTTCTTATTTCAAGGTTTGGTGCTGGAAATTTTTTTTAGTAAAAGAATGAAAACTGTTTTGGCCATTTGTGGGAATATACTGGGTGGTTGTTGTTGTAATCAAAATTGTTTTGGCCAGCTATGTTAATGTTTTAAACTAATGCTAAAATTAGTCCAGCTTAGTTTGGTTGGCTACCGAAACCGTACTGAACCAAACTAGAAATACCGAACCGTACCGAACTACTTTGGTATGGACAATTGATATACCGGATACCGATATACCAAAGTAATTCTTAAATACCGTACCGAACGCCCTCCCCTAATTATCGTTCCTGCTTCCAAGTAATACTAAGTTAACTTTTGCTTCTATTTTCTGGCTTGCCTGCGGCAATCTCTTCATATATTGAAAAGTAAATGGTTAAGTATTTTTCAATTGGGAATTTTCGCAAATTTACTTTTAATTTATGAAATTCATGTGCAGATGAGGCTATTAACTCACAATATGCTATCATCCAACATCAAGGGAGTCGCAAATGGATTCCCGCTGAAGATCGAGGTTGAGAAAGTGGTACAGAAGGAGGTCGATTTCAACATCGACTTCCTCAAGAACATGTTTTATAAGGTTGAATGGAAGGCATTGGCGGAAGCTTCTAGAACCATGGGCTATGCCGAGCTGCCTGAAAATGCTGATGCGGCTATGCTCGAGTCTGATGATTTTCTTCATAAGTTCCACCATGCCCTTCTTGAGCTTCATCTTGAAGAGGGTGCCTTGGTTTGTCCCGAGACTGGCCGCAAATTTCCTGTCACTAAAGGTATTCCTAATATGCTCCTTCATGAAGATGAGGTTTGATTTTTATTTCTCTTTTTGGGTATTGATGTGTTTTGCTTTGGAAATGAGGGCTAGGGTTTTGATATTAGGGTTTAAGGAGTATATTAAGGTTTAAGGAGTTGGTTCAAAGCGACTTATGATTCACCATTTTGATTGCAATGTGATAGCCTTGTTGATATTATGGAGTGATTATCAGAACTTCTTTGTTCGGAAATTATTGAACGTTCAGTTTTGTATCTTTTGTTGTTCCTTTTTTAATTTATTATTATTATAGTTTTTTTGAGCCGAGAATCTATCCAAAATAATCTCTCTACCTTCACAAAGAATTTATTATTATCATAGTTTTTTTGAGCCGAGAATCTATCCAAAATAATCTCTCTACCTTCACAAAGGTTTGTGTACACACCATCATCTCCCGTTGGGGGATCATGCTAGGTTTGTTGTTGTATTATATGGTGGCAAAAAATATCTATTTTGAAATGCCAACAAGTCAAGGTTGAGCTCCGTAATTTGCTGCAAACATTCCAGATGACCTTACGTCGAAACAATTTTAGAAGGCCTTGACGAAATATGAATTTCTCAAGAGCGGTTAATATTACGCTTCAGAGTAGATTTGCTGTGGCACTATGGTGTATAAAGATAAATTTGTTTACAGACGTTTCTCACGAAAAAGAATGGTATACTAACGTCAACCATCTTAAATTCAAAGGGAAAAAGGAATAATCCATTATTCATCACAACATGAGACTGTTCCTTGTGGTGATGAGGCATGGCATACCAACGCATAATAGCTAGCTGGAATCGATTCTCCTGTTCTTGCGAGGAGTGGTTTCATAGGGGGGAAGAGGCACACCAAACACCCAATCAAGAACATTCAAGTACTTGGATCGGAAGACATCCCTCTCTATAGCATAACAATGCATGATAATTGCAGTTGCCATGCTAAAAATCACCACATCGGCTCTCTTTAAATTTTTAGACCGAGGCAAATACCCAACATCGACCATGCACGTGACGAAACTCTCAAGTGCACGAGCAAGGCAGTAGAGTGAAATCTCTATCCTTCTGCTCTTCTTCTCAATTGCCAGGGCCAGACCAGTAGGGAACTGCCAAAAGATTTTATGTTAACTTTATAGTGGGAGAAGTAAACAACTGGTTAAGAAAATTAATTGATTGGTCCTATACCGTTCCCAGTGCCACCATGGGAATGTTACATCTCTTGAACAGCCTGAAGAGGAGGCATGTCCATAACCTACCAATGAAATAATACATGCAGCTTTGAGATAAATGAACATTCAAAGCTAGAGGACTAAAACGTGGAGGGGGCTTAACCTCGTCTGATAAAAAGGCCTAGAAAAACGAGGAAATAATAACAAAGACAATAACATGCTATTACAAGGCAAAACAGTTCTTACCAGGCAGATGAACAATACACGGAGAGAAATAGACTCGACCTTGCCGTACCAAGAAGACCCTTTGCTAAAATTATGTTAGGTCTGCAAAAAGTACCACAAAATGTTGTAATAACTGGAGCTGAAGGAAGATGATTGTACAATTATAGAGCTTGGAAATAAAATGGACTATCATGATGGAAATGTATAAAATAATTGCTTAGTATAGTAACAACTACACTAATATATATATNATAATAATAATAATAATAATAATAATAATAATAATAGAAGTTCTCTATCAAGTCTAAAATGGGTATTCCCTACTGTAAATAAATCATAACTCCTAACTTTTTCTGCAGTTCAAGTTAAATGCATTTCACATAGCCCCAAAATACAGCATGAAAGAAAAACGAATGATATATCATAATGTCCTTACAGAGTACAGTATAAGAAAAACAACGAACAACACATCTTCCACAAACACAGAAATTTCCAGATACCACATTGTCTTCATTAGCTCTAAAAAGTATTGATAAAACGAAAGGATAATAACAAACAGCAAAATAGAAAAAGAACTAAGATATGGTAAAATACATAATCTATAAAGTAGTGACTGCTAGAAATAGCCAATCTCGTCGATTTACGGACCCCTTAATAAGAAGATATCAGTCAAGTCCCAAGAGCCCTTGTTGTAACCTTAAAAGTTTGTTAATTTAAACCTAACTTCAAAAACACCCAAACAACCTCAAAAGCTTTAAGAATACAAAATCATAGAAACAGAGGACAAAAAACAACCTCAATCCAAGCCCCTCCAACTTCTAGCTCTACACAGTAAATATTTTAACTCCTTTTCCCCCAGCATTTTGTAAAGTAGCTAAAAATTGCTTTAGCAGGAGCAAACCCAACTAAATAGAAACCAGCAGTCATAAATTTGAAGAGACAATAGAGGGTTTGCACAACCTCTAATTATGCCTGATGTACTGGCTTAGTGCATAAATTTCTAATTTCTTTAATTACTTATCAAAAAAAAAAAAAATAGAAACCAGCAGTCATATTTGAACTATTTTTCCTGCCAAGGAACAAGAAATTGTGACATACCGAGCAGGGTACTTTCATTTGTGGATCCAGCTTAATGTCAACACCATTAGACTTGTAATGATTCTCTATCGCATCCAAATTGGCTACAGAGTTCCCACATGCCAGGTCTCGCACACCCTGCAGGATAACCTGAGATTTCCCACCATGTTTGTTGAGAAAGGATCTGTAAGATGGATGCAGACTATCTTGCTTCAATATATAAGCGGACCTGACATAAATAAAAAAATGGAATATGAGAGAAAAGCATAGCTCAGAAGGGCATAGGCTTCTCAGAATCAGCAAATCAGGTCTTCGTAGTAAATCAGGTTTTGAATGCGGAACTTACTACATTTTTTCAGCGAAACAACCGGAAAAATATTTTTTTTTTAAAATCTTTATTAAGACGGATGACACCAAGTGTTTAACAACTACTTGTAGACAGACGTTTTAGGTAAATTTCCGCAGGAAGTTGTAATCAGAATTGATCCTATGGAAGCACAAAATTGTATCTTTTTCATGCAGGCAACATATCTAGATTACTAGACTTTGCTGTGTACACTGTAATATGTCAAAAGGATGACTTGTTTAAGTACATACTGTGCCCCTTCCTTCAAGTATTACAAGTTTGACCTCTTCTTGTTGTTGCTAACACAAGTACACACAGATCTCCCACATCATCACCAGAAGCCAAAGTTAGCTTGGCCCTTGGGCGGTCAAATTAACAATTTTTTTTGGGCGGTCAAATTAACATAGGAATTCCACTTGGGCTAATGTAGTACGGCAGCTCAAACAGTTACTTCGGTTCATTGTTAATGTACGGTGTCCTAAACCTATTGTGCTTGGGGATGACATACATACAAAGACAGTGGTATGTGCATGACTGAGGCTTTGCCTTGTATAAAACTTTCCATTTAAGATACATGCATATGTTTAAGGGAGCTAGGGCTTTGGAAATACGGTGTTACTTTCTTCAAAGGAAAGCGTAAACATGTCAACTATCTCGTGTTGCAGTTTTATGCCTCATCGGTTAAACTAAACACATGCCATCAAGATTTATACTAACAGAATTCTACTTACATTGATAGGAGGGATTAGAGTATTGGATCTCAAGACAAGTCATATAATCACAATTCTTACTGAAATTAAAATATACTTTTCCACATTCTTTGTAAGGCAAAATCATAATACAGTTCTTTCGTTGTAACTTGTGACAGACCAGAGGCGGACCCAGGATTTAAAGGTGGTAGGGGCACCGTAACAGTACCTTAACAGTGTTTGTAGCAGTAGGGTCACGCCGGAAACAATTACCTGTGGCTTTAGGTGGACTAATCACTGGTGGTTGCCTGTGGGTTTTGAAAATTGGGGAAGAAGTTGTCTTGTGGAGAGAGAGAATTGGAGAAGAAGCTTTTGATTTAGGGATTTAACTCAAAGTAAAAGGGGGTGGGTCCGTTGGAAAAAACTAAAGCAAATACATTAATTAAGTAAAAGAAAAAAGAATGGGCAACTGGTAGTAGCTAAAAATATGGGTCTTTGGGCTGACCATATTTTCGTAAAAATAGCACGGGCTAGCTAGTTTTCGGATTGGTTATTCGAAAATAGCCAGCATTTGCAAAGTCATTGAAAAATAGTCACTATTTTGCTGCAACACAGAAAGTTCCAGCATAATATACTGGAGATCGGTGCACCTGTGTATGAACTTCCAGCATATGATGCTGGAACACCAACATGCGGAAAGTTCCAGTATATGATTGGAGCACCGGTGCTCCAATCTCCAGTATATTATGCTGGACCGGTATATTATATTGGAACTCCAGTATATTATACTGGAGTATTTTTCCGGATTTTGAATAGTGTTTTAGTTCAGATTTATCTTTACATGAAAAGTGGCTAAATTTCGATTACTTTTGAAACTGTGGCTATTTTAAAATGACCACTTGTAAATCTGGATATTTTTGAATTTCTCCCCATATTTTCCAACTAAAATATGGGCCATTGGGCTATCATATTAAAATTGTCCAACAAAAAAATAAAAAACGTGGGAAGCAGCTGTGTAGTTGCAGAGTGTTGACCTGAGCGGTTTTGGTTTTGATGATTAACAAAGGAACACATGCATGAACCAGGTCCATGGACAGGATACACAGGTGACAGACAGAATTAAGCAAAAGGCTTGCACGTGAAAGGGATAAGTATAAGTGGTCATATCTGATATTCCCTAAACGAAAAGGTTGCATATTTGACAAGGAGCATGACTCCTTGCTTGAAGAGAACTCTATCCAAGATAAGAGAAGAGTTAGAAGTTGAAGTTGACTAGAACTCTTCCACCAAGGAAGAGTAAAGCATTAGAACTCTAGTTAATCTTTATTTACTAACTCTATAAATATCAATGTTGTTCTCTTTTACAGGTGATGCACACATACTGAAATTAAGCAAGAATTGAGAGCAAAATAGCAACGCATTTTGTGAGCAATTCCTGTGAGTTTTAAGAGTGTGATCCTGAAGCTACACGAACCAGATTGAAGAACCAGCTCCATAAAGAGTTTTATGTGTCTTTCTTTATTTTTAGTTCAAAGTGTAGTAGGCGTTTTGAGTTGTACCTTTCAGCTTTCTTAAAAGCAAATTGTACTAGGTATTTGAGTTGTATCTTTCAAGTTAGAGTTAACTTGAAGTAGTCGCAACAACTTGGACAACAACTTGTGGCTTGTTGCTATAAGGGTTGGAGTTAATCCTTAGGGCCGCAAGAGGTTGTAAACTTGAGTTGTATTGTTCAAGTTAGAGTTAACTTGAAGCGCTCGCAACAGTCTATGGCTGGTTGCTATAAGGGTTAGAGTTAATCCTTAGGTTTGCAAGAGTTTGTAAACTTTGTTGTTGACAAAGAGTTGTAGTGAAGTGTTTGGAGAAAATCCTACTGGGTAGTAGGTCGTGGTTTTTTCACCTTTTGAGTTGGGTGTTTTCCACGTAAAAATCCTTGTGTTCTTTACTTTCTGCATTTATTATTCCGCAACAGTAATATAAGGAACACATAGAAGAACCAGGTCCTTCTATAATCTGTGCACGCAAAAAATTGGACACCACACAAATCACCCCCCTCTTGTGTGGTATTAAAACATCACAGAAATTCGAACTTAGGTATTTGGAATAAAAGTAGTAGCTCCTACCAGTGCCCCAAAGTGCTTTTGTGTTTGAGGGGTCCTAGAGAGGTATACATCATATTTTGAAGGAATATACACATATATACCGATAATTTCTTCCGAATTTACCGGGGGCCGGAGACCCCACTCCTCTCCACGTGGGTCCGCCTCTGTGACAGACAAATAAAGAATCTGAGATTAACCTGATTCAGATATGACAGTTCTACTCTTCCTGAAACATATTACAAAATTATCAAGTGGGATTGAATCAGTTTAAATATTTCTGGTTCTAAGACTACTGAAATTAGGGGTGTTCATAAAAATCCGAAAACCCGAACCAAACCGAAAACCAAACCAAACCGACCA